ACCCGGCCCTGGAACCCCGCCCCTGCCGGAGGGCTGGGGGCGCTCTGAGCGCCGGGCGAGCTAGGTCGTCTGGGAGCCCGCCAGGGAGGGCGCCCTGGGGAGCTGATGGCTGCTAGTGACCTGGCCTTTCAAGGTCCCTTGAAGTGACACCCAGAGACTTCTCATGTCTCACGCATCCCCACAGCCCTGCCTGAAACAGTCGCCCTGGCCGCACATGGCTGTGAAGCGTTTAAAATGTCCAGGTCCTGTGTCAAGGACACTCCAGAAGGTGAAGACATAGTGTGTGTGTGTGTGTGTGTGTGTGTGTGTATGGGGGGGAAGATCAGAGCTCCCCTATTGATATTGATGACGCGTTTAAATGTAACCAGTTAGGAATACTGGGTTAGTCTATGGCTCATATTACTTTCACCTGTTGTTTAGTTCTTTTTCAAAAGTGGATATCGGACAAGACGTTCGCTATGGTATGCAGTCCGATTAAGAGTCCCAACCCAACTCACAGAGATCCACCTGCCTCTGCCTCCCGAGTGCTGGGATTAAAGGCGTGCACTGTGAGTTCGAGGCCAGCCTGGTCTACAAAGCGAGTTCCAGGAAAGGCGCAAAGCTACACAGAGAAACCCTGTCTCAAAAAACCAAACCAAGCAACTAACCAACCAAACAAAAACAAAACAACAAAAACAAAAAGGAGTCCCAACCGAATCCGACTCTTTTTTTTGTGTGTTTGTTTTTTGTTTTTGAGACAGGGTTTCTCTGTGTAGTTTTGCGCCTTTCCTGGAACTCACTTGGCAGCCCAGCCTGGCCTCGAACTCACAGAGATCCACCTGGCCCTGCCTCCCGAGTGCTGGGATTAAAGGTGTGCATCACCACCGCCCGGTCAGAATCCGACTCTTACATTCCCTACAGTGGAGGGAGAGGAAGACAAGCCCTGAATTTTGGCACACCTGTAATCAATCCCAGCGTTCGGCAGTATCTAGAGTTCAAGGACAGCCTTGAACTAGATAGTCAAGATAGTCAGAGCCTGTGCCAAACACACACACACACACACACACACACACACACACACACACACACACACACACACGGGAGGGGATGGAGGTGTGAAAAGTTTAAAACAAAACAGACAGACAAACAAACAACAACAACAACAAAATAAGGGCTGCATAAGGCCCTTGGTTCAAACCCCAGTGCCAAATAAATAAATAAATGATTAGCAAACAAATAAATAAATGCCAAGCATGGTAACGTTAAGCCTATAATCTCAGCCCTTAGGAGGCTAAAACACAAATAATGGCAAGCTTTGGCATAGCCTGGGCTGCACAGCAAATTCCAGGCCAGCCTCAGAAACAGTGAGACCTCAAAAACAAAGAATTGATCATGTAAATTGGGCTTGGTGTCACATGCCTTTGATCCCAACACCCAAGAGGCAGAGGCAGGCATGAGCTCAAAGCCACCAGCC